GGGGGGGGGGGGGGGGGGGGGGGGGGGGGGGGGGGGGGGGGGGGGGGGGGGGGGGGGGGGGGGGGCGTACTCACGTTTTGCTTGCCGTTGTTGTTAGACCACTGACCATCGTTCACGAGAGAACGGAACATTATTCCTACAGGACCGATCACCGACGGCCAATCGTCCCTTATCCTATCTATCCTATCTAACCCTATCTATATCACCCCCCATCTTCTGGCTATTCCGGTGTGTGTGGGGGGGTCGGGATCAACAATAGGGCTGGCTGGCCACCAGGGTCGCCTCAGAGCTTGACGGCGACGCAGCAGCGCTGCTGTTACAGACTTCCTGTTCTGTCGGCGAAAGTACCTGGAGTGCGGCACGACTCACCCAGCGCAGCGACGCTCTCCGCTACGGCCAGGTCGGACATGTGGTCATGTTGCTGGGCGGGCTTGGCTGAGAAGGCCGTGTTCTTCACGCGCTGTCCCGCGCCACCTTCGGCACTCGCGTACGGCAAGTCCTACTCAAAACAGTCAAAGACACAGCAGACAGGCGAGGCCGTAGCAGGCAACAGACCGTAAGCTTGTAGATCATCCAAACGGAGACCGAAAAATCAACAGCTCATGTTGGTCAGAGAAGAAATCCCTAGCGTCGATACCTGGTTGGGAGTCTAACCGGGCAGAAAAGCTGTCGCGGTCACGGAGGTGGCAAGGGATACATCACATCAGTGCAGAGGCAGTCAACAGCAGTAGTGGTGTTCGGTGGGAACCCTGATTACCCCAACTCGCGGTGTCGTATCGCGCATTATTAATCAATTCGCCATTGGATAACCACCTTCAACTACAACTTCAACACCACGAGGCGTCCTTCGCCTCTTGAGAACCCGTACTTGCAAAGAAAACTTCGGTCAAAATGCAAGTCAACTTAGCCAACAACTCAGTTCGACTCATGCCGTCGTTTCTTCCAACACAGCCAATACTACGACTTCCATAGATCTTGGTGGATCTAGATGTACAGCAGTACCTCTCCGCCAGGAGTGAAGGGGTTCATGTTCCCCGTCTTCCCTCTGGCGTACTGCGACAGCCTCGTTGTGGGCTTGTCCAGAGTTCCCACGGAATAACCGCCGGCGCTGTCTCCGTCCAGTGGTACCTCCTCAACCTGAACAGCCAGAGAAGCAAGCCGTTTCGGATAGACGCTGCTGTCAGACAACCGCACGAAGGCTACCGGGGCCTTCTTAAAACAACAAGATGCAACTTGGTCTGATCTACATATTGCCACCAGACAACCCCACACATGCTATATTTACATATTTTCTACGGTACACTTATGTTGGCGGCTGTCGTAAACCAAGCAGCTCTTTCCCAGCAAGCTGCCTCTACAGCGCACAGCGTCTTGAAATAGACCATGAATGCGGTGCACGTGACACGTTCATCAACAGAGAGCGCAAGGGTGAAGCCGGCGTTGCCAGGGCCACACCAACGCGCGAATAAAAAAAACAAGACTGGAGCACACAGCAAAATTTCCTGCGGCGCACAAGCAGAACCACGATTGAATAGACCGGTGGAGCATAACTTGCCGGTGGCCTTCCTAAAGACGCAGCATCTACCTAACACCGTGTACTGACACAACGAACGAAGCATTTTCTCTCACGTTGGGAAGGTGTTCGTACCGCATCCGAAATATTCAAGTGGGGTGGTGACGAACGATATCTGCACCCCTCTCACCTCCCATCCACTATCCAGGTCCCGGCAGGCAGGTGGGAACGGGCCGTGGTGCCCTAGGGAGCTACCGAGGAAGGTCTTGAGGTCCCTGGCCGGCTTCACTGCCTGGAGAGCGCGTAGCCAGCGAGAGAGTGACCCATCACACCGTTTCGTGTTAGAAGGGTTAGTACTGTGCTATGCTGTGGGGGTGTGCTACCGGTCGATTATGGATAGCTTCTGACTACTGCACAAGATTTGACCTACTTGCGCTTGAATCATGGACCCATTCACGAGTTATGCGACACTGACTCAACTCTGGAGAGCGACCGAGTTATTAGAAGAGAGATCCGGACAACTTGACATCGGTGCTACGGCGAATTCACAGACGGAGGGTCCTTTTCAATCACAGCCTCCAACACGGCTAAGTGGAGGACTCAAACAGTTTTCTAGATCAAGCTCCAACTCTGCTGGCGGACATGACGATGCTCATATCACACCCACCGACACGTTGCAAGCAAACAATAGAGAAACTCAAAAACAGCAACGCACTGTACGTCCGGACGTCACAGGCGACACACACCCAGAAGCCGCGCGACGCCCATCATGAAAACAGCCACGACTCGAAATGCTACGGCTGCAACGTACGCGCGACATGCGTTCGTGGAACTCAGTTCGTGGGAGGAAGAATAGGACACACAAAAGACCCACGCACCATGGTTGACCGTGCTTGAGACATGGCTACGGTAAGGAGGCTGCTCCCAATGCTTCTCGACCAAGTAGTTTTGTCGAACCACTTGTCGGCGCCTTCCTCCCGCGTCTCGGCGGCGATGTGGGCCGACACATTCAGGTACCTTACATAGATGCGCGAACGTTGAGTGTTCGGTGAAAACAAGCCTACGTGATCTGGCGCTCTTACCGGTCGGGTAGGCTAAAGCTCGTGTACGGCGCGCGTTTCTTTTTTCTTGTGCACGCAGAAATGATTCCTTTGGCAAAAGTACGGAAAACAACTATGGGGACACCATTGTTAACACGCCGGTCGTCTCCACACGACTCGAATGGTTCCTAGGCCATTTCTAACGATGGGTATCATTTCTCCAAGCTCCAAAACGAAGAACGTGTCAACTGTGGGGGGAGGATCCAAATGAGACGAGCATCTCGCAGCGACAGTCTTGCACCAGTTTGTGAAACACGCAAGCACCGCTGAACGGGACGACGCCGGCGACACGGCGATCTGCTGTCGAATAACGATGGGCGCGCACGATGCAGTCACCACCGTCCGTGGATCTCTGTGGCCGTAAGGATGTGCCCCACTCAGCGTTTGCTCTCGACTTGAGCCAACAACAAGACCAAGGCGTATGGCTATGGCATCGAGTCCTGGAGTACCAAGTTCTAAGGGGGCACCACGCCAATCGCCGCGTCCGTAAGACGGTCGCAAGCAGAAGCTTGTTCAGCTCACCGAAAGAGAGACACACAGCTGCTCCACGTCTGAATACCATGTTTAACAGCCGACCGTGGATGCTACTTTTGTGGCACGCATGATTGTCCGTAGAAGCAGTGTGCACGTGTGCACACCAAATGACGCTTTTTTGTTTTCACCTATCTTGAAGTTCTTGTCGGCAGGGCGGGGCCAAGGTCGGCAAGGAAGACGCCCCAAAGGGTAGGGTGGACGTGCTCATCATATCTCGCCACCTCTCACCCCTGCCGCTGCTGCTACCGCCCTGGCTGGAGGCATTATCATCATTGCTTTGGCAGGGACCATCTACCGCGATTGTTGGCACCAACACCGACTCCCCTTCTAAGCCTACCGACACGATGCGGAAAGGCAGGCCGGCCGACTGGGGCACCTTTGGACTCTGGCATATGTGCAGCGCAGCGGGGGCGGCAGGGGGGCGGGGGGGAGGCGGAGCGTGGTGTTGCATAGAAACTCATTTGCCACGGAGGAGGTGTATGCGGCAACAGGGCAATCCGACACCCAGCTTGGATTGCGATGTCATTCGCGATTAGCAATGTACTCGGGCGTGCGAGGACCTTGTGTCGTGGCATAGTAGTGGCATACTCGGGCCGAAGGCTCCTGTAGCTTGCCGGTGGGACACAGCAGGCTGTGCACATGAGGTACTTTCGCATTGACTATATGCTTACAGCCGTTCCACTACTGTAAGCCTTGCACACAGGGGTGGTTTGATGGTAGTGTAGCGTGTAACGCATGAAACGTTGATGTGTACTGGGGAAACATGCGTTTAGAGTCCTGCATGTGCCTCTCTTACTACTCAATGCTAACCCTCTAACACAGGACTGCGGCTACGGAGAGTCAGTTGAAATCGCGCGACAGCTTGTTCTTGCTCTCACGACAAGGAGACTCACTTGGGCATCTTTGGCCTCTGCATGTTCGATCTCCAGAAGAAGAGAATCTATGTCCAAATCCCCATCTCCTGCCATGGCCATGCGTGATGGGGTCTCCTGTGCCCGCGCGCACGCGTGTGTGGCGTTGTTGCCTAGGGGCGAGAGGAGGGCTGGCTCTCAACTCTCAACGAACGTGGAGAGAAGAGGGAGGGGGGTGGAGAGAGAGCGAGAACCAAAATGCTCGACGAACTTTTCGGAACATCTTTTAGAATGTCTGCAGCAACTGCCGCACGACTGCAGCAAGCACGAAGCTTCTCCCGCCGGCGTGCTCAAGGGTGTGTGTGTGTGCCCTGACTGCGACTGCTGCGAAAATCCAGCTGCCCTTGTCTTGCAGCAGATTTACCGTAGGGGGGGAGACGAAAAGAGGCACCACACATTGCGATTGAGCAACAGAGCGCGGTGAAGGTTGTTCCTGCTCGCCGCACGTCTGTGTGCACGATGGCTGTGTCCGTGAGGCACGCGACGCTGACACTTCACAAACGCGAGCAGTGGTATGAAGACATTCGCCCAAGCGTTGGCGGTTCCGACTTCAACCCTCTGGCGGCTTCAGGTACGCGTCAACTTTCAACACCACAGCCGTACAACAGTAGTGTTGTACATGCACAAAAAATCACCAAAATGTGGTGTTCCGATAAAGCGACAGAGACAATCGAGGTTGCAAGGCGCAGATTGGGAAGGAAGAGCGTCCTCCTGAGTGTGCCACGTCGGCTTGAGTGTAGCTTGCAAAACAACTCGGTGTCTTGCATTGTGCGTACAACCTACAGCGCGGAGTCGATATTTGATGTAGGGCATACAGCATTCGGGATATTGTCGTTGTCAAACCGCAACTCATTCTGCTGCTGTGTTCGCCAGTTGGCGGCAGCTTTTGCCCGAGCATCATATGCGGCACGATACATAAAGGTATGGCGATGGTACATTTGTTACTCAGTGTCCATAAGCCAAGTGTTGATCTTACACATTAAGCTGCAACGTTTTGTCCTCTTTGTTTATGCTTCGCAGCCAACTTCTGCGCCTTCGTGGATCAGCACGGCTTTGGTGCTGTAGTGATGCCCCTCGCTGCGGTAGGGAAAGGCCGGCCGCAGCCAATGCCCGCGGTTCGGGTTGGGGCGGAGGTAAGAGCCCCAAGTCGACGCGTGGAGATTGCTCGAGCTGCGTTATGAACAGGTGTCAGCATCGAAACGGAAAATGTTTGATGGAAGGATGATCACAGAAGAGTAACGGCCACGAGATGCCCCGCGCCTGAGGAAAGCAAGCGCCGATAACGTAGTACTCTTCTTGCTTTGTAAGCATAATGCCGACAAGACACGCCGCCAAAGTTGACCAACCATGCGTTGCCTGAAGATCCTGGGGAGACTCTACTGTAGTCCTGTGAGGTCGACCGTTCTACTAGTGTCCGGTTTAACTCTTTGGCTACTGTGTGCAGTCTGTTGTACTTCTTGCAGGCGCCAGATGTGGTCAACAGCTTGTGAGCGATTACCGCCGCATTGAACGTGACTCGATAAGCAGCATCGTATGACATGACAACAAGTATGTTTATGTTAACATCACTACCCCCCAACTCAAACGGCACGGTGGTTCGAAGTTCGTTCGCCTTAACGTGTCCCTGCTGGCATGATTGCCTTGGTGCCGACGCCACTGTTGTAGGTCCGAGGACTCGAGTGGGACCCCTTCTGTCCCAACAACCTCGCTACAGGCGGCGGCGACGGTATGGTCAAAGTATGGAGCATCCCGCCCGAAGGACTACAAGAAGACATGGTCGCCCCTCTGGTTTCAATCAACACAGGTCCGTACGTCTAGGCTGGGTGCATCATAGCCCACGGGTCGTGGCACAGGCTGGCGCGTGGAAGAGACCGCGTGAACCTGGTGTTGTGGCCCAACAATCGCTTTGTTCCTTTTGTCTGTCCTCTACCCGATTGCTTCCATGTGGACCAAAGCAGCGCTAGACAAGACGACGGAAAGGAAATCCTCGCTACACCACTCAGCGTACTCCTGCGACAGCAAGCCAAAAGCTCTATTATAGTTGCTTTGGGAAGGCTTTTCTAGGGTACATCACTGCGCTAGTTAAACCTCTGTCTTGCGATCCTGAAAATTGGTTAGTTTCTTACACTCTTCGAGGTGGTCAACCTACGGTTGAGGCGTTCATGTCAACTTGGTTTGTTTCGCGCTCGCTCCTCGACGGTCACAGCCACAGGAGGCGATGGGATATCCGATGCTCAGGCGGTCCCGAAAGGACTCGCCTTTCACCCGTGCGCCCCGGGGCTAATCGCCAGCAGGGGGCTGCGAAAGATCTCTCTGTGCGACCTGACCAGACCTCAGGCCCCGTGCTTGTCGGTCGGTGGAAGCGCGGCCTTTGACGGGGTAAGTGGCGAGAAGCTCAAATTTTGATGGGGAAGTGGCGATATGCCTCAAGGGCACACCTTTTGACGACCTTCCCCCCCAAGTTGAGCATGCGGGTGGGTGTCATGAAAGCGCTCTGAGCGTTTGGTATGCTCGCGAGGTTAGCTACCCATTAATCCTTCTCCTGTGGGCGTGTCGGCTGTTCTCTTCACTGTTTGGGCAGAAATAGAAATCGTTCAGGTCATTGGACATGATGTACCAAATGCGATATTGGTCAGTGCGACATTGGTGCAACGTTTTTTGCGAGTTGACAATATTGAAACGGTTCCATCCTAATCCGATGAATCCCGTAAGTGGGACCCCGCAGGCACAGTCTACCAACCTGAGGTGTGCGTACCATGAAAGCTGTTGACCTCGCCACACATATCGCGCGAGAGTCTCAAAGCCAAAATCTGAGGCATGTCGCATTGGCGGGAGTTGTACCTTCCGGTTTGGCTAGCGTTTATGCATAACCGGTTAAACGCTCTGTACTGATTTCTGCCGTTTTGAGTTGAGCCCCGTGCTACTGACGACTGTATTATGTAGTGTTCCACCACACGTGATCGATGGCAGACGACCAACGAGAAACAATAAACATCCGATCGTATGTCCGACGGACTCCCGAGCGTGCTTTACAACCACGCCGGCGGTGCTTCTCATGGCTATTACATGCAGGCTCCGTCACACCGTGAACCCTCGTTGTGCTGCCGTTGCTGACCAACACAGGACACGTATGACATGCAGTGGAGCTACTCGGGAGACGTAGTTCTCACGACTGATACTTCCAGGGCCCTTCAGCTCCTCGACCTTAGGTACGACTGACTGCTGTGCGATTGACCGCTCCTGGTCTGGGGCTGAGCTGGTTTTACGGTGGCGTTTTCCTTCAAATGCAGTGGAGATGAACAAGAGCTTTTTTGAAGCCTTTTGCTGGACTACTTCTAGTGTTTTGAGAGGCGTGGCTTGAGATTCCACTGCGGAAGATACAACACAACGCAAGGTGTCCCTCGGATAAATGCCAGCCGTGACACGCTGCTGTCGAGAACTTGTATGTTCGTGGCTGTACAGCACCCAATTGAAAGTGTTGGCGAGGGAAAGGAGTGTCTCGACATCTCCCGCATTATGAATCCGAGGCACGGGCGGCTACAAAACACTTGTACCTGTGTGCTCTGGTTGACACGCTCGAGGGTATCCCGAGACGCGTAGACTCAGGCATTCAGGCGACGGAAAAAGCGCACCCTCGGCTTAAACTTGAAGTACTTTCAGCTTTGTTGAAATGTTGTGGTATGCGATGCGTGTTCCTCGGAAAGGTTGCGCAAGGCTTGTTTCGTGTGGTTGCTCCGTCCTCTTGAATGGGGATACAGCGGTGATGTTCAGGCAATCACCCTACCCCTCCTCCACCCCTCCTCCCGAGCCTTTCGCTCATGTTTGGAGAAAGTTCAAATAGTTGCGCTAAACAGCTTTTTGAAAACGCGAAAGATGTCTAGCGTACACCAAGTTATACCCCTCCTCCCCCCTTAGACCAAATTGTGCCCCTCCCCCCCCCCCCCNACAGCTTTTTGAAAACGCGAAAGATGTCTAGCGTACACCAAGTTATACCCCTCCTCCCCCCTTAGACCAAATTGTGCCCCCCCCCCCCCCCCCCTTCGTTCTCCCCGGTGCCCCTCATTTACAGGGCTGGAAATGTCGTGGCGAAGGCCCAAGACGTACACGGGCCAGGGACGAGCAGGGTCACGTGGTGCGACAACAGCGTCTACATGCTGACAACGGGCATGTCGAAGCTGACGCGAGAGCGGGAGTTCGCGGTGTGGGACGCGCGGTCGATGTCCGCCCCCGTCAACCGCACGCGCGTCGGGGGCACGAGCTCAGGCTTCCTGCTGCCCCGCTTGCAGTACGGCCTCGGCCTGGTGACCCTGTGCGGAAGGGGAGACTCGACTGTCAGGTGACGATGACGATGGAGTTTGTCGTGAAAGAACAAAGCGAAGCGCCTGCTTCCCCTTCCACAATCACGCATACGGCGTTTTTTGGGCGGTTTGTCCAAAGTTATTTAAACGCTTCATTCACGGCAGGGGTGCAGCAAGTAGTCCTACAAGCCTCTAACAGGACTAGACTTGATTTCACATGGTTGTCCTGCTACACGGCCGGGCGGCACTCTTGAGTTTTTTTTTAGGTATGCGTGAATCTGAAGGAGAGTGAAAGGAATGCGGGGTGTTCGGTGGGTGAATGGATCTACTACGCACACGTATAGAATCGATTACAAGGGTTGTTTGTGGTGCATCACGTCGGAGATTTATTTGGGCTCGAAGCTCGGTAAAGGAAGATGTAGCTTCTGATCTCCACGCTGCCCCCTATCGTGGTGTCGATACTACCCGGTCTTCATCTATGGCTATTTCCCTGTAATTTGGCCGTTGACGTCCACACCTGCTCTTGTTTGCGCTTGTGATACGTAAGGATGCTGAGCTTTGACTACGCCACCGGGAAAACTGTGGCGGTCAGCACAACATCTGTGGGAGGAGTGGCACGAGCTTACGCCTTCGTTCCTCGAGCCAGGTGAACCAAGATCAACCAATGCTTAGTCTAGCACCGTCTCTTGTTGTTCGATGCCCCTATTGCTTGTCGTTCACTGTGATCTACCTATCGCAATACCCAGTTTAGACGTCAAACCGAAGAGTTCCACTCCGCGGAGCGGAGCGCCCGGACTCGCGTTCTGTGTTGGTTGCGCTCAAAGCGTAAAGTTGCGAGGGGCGGGGAATATTCTTCATCCAGTGCTCTCATGTCCTGAAACTTTGTCTACTGTATTGGAAGTGTGGGAGACCACCATGACCACATTCGGGGCTCGAGCTCGCTACCAGACCACCCAGCAGGGTCTGATAACCTTCTTAGTTCACGGAGCGACCGGCAGACTAAACTGTCCGTGAGTTCCGTTGGATGGCAGCAAAAACCGCGTACGTATCATGCACGACAGTACTCTATGATATCGTGCGGTGTTTAGCTCTACTCGTGCACGTCCCCTTCTCCCGTGTCTAGCCCACACAAGTTGTTCCAAAAGAATGCTTGGTTCTCACAAACACCGTCACCGACGCGTTATTGGCCTCTCAGCTGCGACGTGATGTCGTGCGAGGTGACCCGGCTTCTCAAGCTGTGCGACGACGGAGTGCAGCCTGTGTCGATCGTCATCCCCCGGCGAGACAAGAAACGGTTTCACGAGGAGCTTTTCCCTCCCGCCCCAGGTATTGGCGCATTTTGCGGTGCTGTACGCTGGGTGCAGTGACTTCTGGTGGTACTGCGCTGGTTTGTGAGGGACACGACGGCCAGCAACACGGTATATTCCTAACTCACTCGTTCCCTGTACGTGCAATAGAACACTCACGGGCAGGGGTGAGACGTTCAACGACTTCCCCTATCGGAGGATCTCCAAAGACGTTGCACCCGGCAAAAGTCAAATGCCCGAGCTTATACCTTGCAACTGGTTGTTGATATCCCTGTGAGATTTTTAGGATGACCGCCCTGCACGCTTCTATCAAATAGAGTGTACCTGAAAACAATGCCCCCTGCGGCCGCCCCCGCCTTCATCGATCGAAACTTTGCCTGCGGTATCCCCCAGGTGGTCGCCCTTCTTTGACGGCTCCGGACTGGCTCGCCGGCATGAACGTGCCGCCGTACCTGGAGGTGCTACCGCCCCCGCAGCCGGCCCCGCGTGTAGAGTGGAACCGCGCCGGCTCCTCTTCTTCCACCGCTCCCGCCGCGGCTACACCACGCACGGCGACCCCTTCTGCCCCGACTCCACCGACACAAGGAAAACAAGCGACAGAAGCCCAGCCATCACCGGCGAACGCCAGCGGTGAACCAGCAGCGGTGCTTAGCCAACCGGCCAGCGAAGGGCTAATTGCACCAACTGCTTCTGGTGCTGGTGCTGTTGCTGTTGCTGTTGCTGACGCGACCACCACAATGACGGAGCGTCCCCCCAACGGCGAGGGTCAACCGGCCGTAGCGTCGTCTCAGAGGGCGGGGGAGCCTGCGGCTCCGGGCGACAGACCAACTGCGGCAGGCGAGGAGGGGAGTGTCCCTGATGCTGCAGCTGCCCCGGCGCTAGAGAGGGCAGCTTCCTCTGGACCCAACTGGCGCGGAGGAGCTCCTAAAATCAAGGTGGATGGCTTGGTCGGCTGTTTTCTGCCGGCGTTCTTTGTGACTGGCTCTGTTTGTCACTTTCTTTACGCGTTAACTTGAGAATACTCAGTCTGTTTTTTGTGCGGTTTACCAGTCATTCCGTTTGCGTCAAAACCTACCCTTGTCATGTCCTTTTGTTTTTCGCAAATGGCGTGCTTGTTTTGGCTCGTCTAGTGCAACACCTCATGGAGTCAATCGCACCCGTCCTGCCTCAGCGGAGACACCTATGATAGTTGCACAACCTCGACGTGAGACACTTCCAGGAGAACAACGCAACACACACGGGCCTCAGTACTCTATACCTGGACCACGACCAAAGACTCCGACCAAGCCTGCAGTTTACTACATAGTACCGTTCTTTTTGGCTCAAGCACGCATTGCTGCTGCGTTGCATTCGATGTATTTCTATTTGGTCGCGTTGCCCCTCACTTACACCAACCCACTGCGCACGCGCCCCCGTTCTATATATTCCAACACCAACTTCCAGCTCCGTCACGTCTACGGCGTTGAAACGAAAGGCGCGAAGCCAGTGTTCAACCTGTCGCCTTTGCTCACCTCTCTCGACGGGCCGATCCTGGCGGCCTCTTCGTCCTTCTGGGCCGTGCCGTGGGTCGGCGGAGGTGGGACCGTGTACGTGTCCCCGCTCTCTGCTTCCGGCAAGGTGCGCCCGGGCCCGGGTGTTGTCCGTTTCGGTTCCTCGCTCCAATATTGCGGCCTCAATGGCCTCTATGGCCTCTATCGCCCCTCGTAAGATGGTTGCTACACTGCGGAATCATGCCGCCATTTCGCGAACGGGTGTTTTTTTTAAGTGCGCTCGGTGTCTGTTTTGCAGATGTGATGATTTGATTCGCAGGAAAACTGGCATTAGTTGGAGTCCATTCTTTTTTGCAGATGTGATGATTTGGTTCGCAGGAAAAGTGGCATTAGTTGGAGTCCATTCCGGCGCCATGCGATGTGGTGCGAAGACTATACTTGGAGACATGTGTGGCAACACGAGGGCTCACCTACACGGCGGTTGCACTTCTTCCAATGTATGGTGTTAGCATTCTTCAAGTGCTCGAAGTGTTCGATCGTCGACCCTCTCACACCCACACCGGTCGTGGGCATCATGCGTGTCTGCGGTGCGGTCTTGGACTTGTCTCACCAACCCAGGTGGAGCCAGACTGCGGCTTGGTGAACGGGCACAAGGCCGCGGTGCACTCCATCGCCTTCTCCCCCTTTCAGCCTAACCTCATGGCGACAGGTGAGGGGCACCTAGCAAGGCAGTTGTGCAAATGCTGGAAGCCTTTGAGTTTTTAGCGGTCATCCTTTTCAGTCGGGTGGAGCATCACATAGTGTTGAATGCGGCGTTATTGGACTTCGGCCGTTCATCGACTACTGCCAAATCCCTTCCCGCAAACCAACCTTCTTCCAGTGCAACGCGAAGAACCCGGGAATCCACCCCTAGAGAAGGCTGTCCCTATCATGTCATCGGCAGGCATCAATAGTCGCCCGTATTCTTGATCCTTCCATGGGCCCTGATTTGCCTCATGGTGTCTTGCGGTGCCTCGTCACGACCTCCACGCCTCGGTCGACCGGGTCCTGCTGCTGCAGGGAGCGAAGACAGCACGGTAAAGCTGTGGAGCCTTCCGGAAGGCGGGCTTGCGGAGGGTAATATGGGCGCCGACGACGCAATTGCCGACCTGACGTTCAACTACACGGCTGTCAGGTAGGCAACTCGAGTTGCCGTCCCGGCCCGCACGTGCTACAGAATTGCCCCCCCCCCCTCCCTGCCCCCCTTCGGTGTTTGCCATCGGGGTTGGGTTTTCGTCGCTTGGCAACGACGTTGTAAAACAAGCCGCCCCCCCCGGTGT